TTTTTACGAAAAAACTTTTCCATTGACTTTTTCACGTATCCCCGTTTTGTATATTTTCATATTCATGTCCAAAATCATAAATAATATTTTATGTTTTATGCATGGCGCGTAACTCGTCGTATATTTCTCGAACCGATATTCATCGAAAGATTTAGTGAAAAAAAATGAATATTTCGGAAAACATCTATTATTTTTATGTAGACGCACATCTGGGGGCCCCCCAAAAGGCGAAGTTAAATGCGACTATAAAATGAGAAATAATCGAAGAAGGGCGCTTAAAAATTTTCATTGTCGGGAAAGGTCGTCGTGTTGTGTTTATGGATTTCTTGGGAAGAAAATAATAAATATTTAAATAAATAAAAAAGAGTGCGCGTAAGGTTCACACGCGATTGAAGTAAAACTTATTTGATACTGTACAAAGTAACAATTTTAAGTCAAAATAAATACAATTTTATAACAATTTTGAATAGTGTTTATTAGTAACATGGTAATACTTGTGATACACACATTTATTATTGTCAACTATTATACACATTCATACAATGATAAATTATAAATTATATATTTACAATGGCATTAATAATATGTAAAATATTTAGAAATAATAATGTAAATAAAGTCATACTTCAAATACGACATGATCGGTTTGTCATTGTAATTAGCATTTAGAAATGAACCTTCATTAGAGAAATAAAGTAATTGCTGATTAATAAATTGCTGAATAATAAAACAACGCCCAAATAAATATTGTTTTCGCAACTTCACTCGTCATGTAATAATTGTGTTCGAAGAACTTCATGTAATTAAAATTAACATACATTCATTGACTGATGATATTTTTTTACTTTTTTGCTGGCGATATAATCTCATTCTTTGAAAAGCTATAAGCTATAATATCTGTTTTGCCTAAAAATATTTTCCATTTCAATAACTTCAAAGATTTGTAGAAACTACGAATAATATAGAAATAATTCCTAATCAATAAACTTACGTTTAGTTTACGGCACAAATGTTTAATTTGTTTTATTATTTTCAAGGAACAGGGCAAAATATTCTTCTGATTCAGGCATTTTTCATTAAATCAAGCTTTATAATACGATGTAACTTTAAAATGTTTATCTATCTATGTCGATTTCTTTGTTGATATCGGTACGCATACAACGTTGACACCGGTACGAATACGACGACAGATCTCTATTCACATACACGACGACTAATCACAATCGACCCATATAGAAATGATATCATCGAGAGCGAATGACGAATAATTGTCACTCGACTCTTATCTTATCTTATCTGCCGTAACGCACTTCCGTTGCATTTGTACGGATTTACACCCTAGTAGCGCCTAAAGAAGTTTTACTTCAGAAATAGAATTACTGACTATATTTATACTCCATGTTTAAAGTCGTTTCTTGTCTAAAGAATTTTTTTTT